CGAAACATACAAGTTCTTGACAAACCACGAGCAGCATTGCATTTTGATAATCGAGGGACAAACGTGTAATAGATACAAGGAGAACGTGAAACATGCGGCTAGGAATCGATAGGAGGAAAGGAAAAGAGAAGGCGGATGAGTTTTAAGTCTGATGAGGCATTGCAAATCTCTGAGGGGGGGACACAAATGAAGGATTCGAGCCCATAGAGTGAGTGTTCGTCTCGAGCGCATAGAGGATTTCTCAGACAACTAAAGAGATATGCCGAAGCGAAAGAAGAAACACGAAACAGAAGCTGCATTTGCTGTACCCGACGGTTTCGTTTCATCGGTGAGTGCAAGGGAAAGGTTTTTGTGAAAAGCAAAAGCCAAGCCAGACAAGCAAACGGTCAAAATTCCCGCGAAACTATCCTGTCTAGGAAATTTTCAGCGTGCTGAGACGAAAGGATAAAGGCATATGATCCTGTGGGATTAGTCAAACTGTATGATCTTATTGTTCCCAATGTTATAGAACATTAGTGAGATTATGATGATGATGAAGGGGAGGTGGGTAACCTGGCCATTGGACTGGGCAAATCTCTTTCAACGTCGATCATGAACGGGGATAGTAGACAGCCCCTCCTCGCATATCATTTTTTACCTCCTCCAGTGTAAAGATCCAACCTACATTGCATTTCCTTCCCGACATCAACATCTTCTCTCAGTTTCAGCTCTGCTTTGGTCATCCAAAGGTGCGTGTGCACACACTCTCTCTCTCTCTCTCCCCCCCTTGGGTCGAGTGTAAAACTCCCATAAACAATGAAGTGGCCAAAACTAATGTCTGCTGTCAAGACGTTGATTCCTGTTTCTGTTTTGTTTTCTCATAATCCTTCTGTGCGAGGCAAGGTTAAAAGTCAGAAAAAAAGACCTGATGGCAGGTGAGGCACCAAGCTGGGCAGATCAATGGGGGTGCTGGTGGGATTGGTGCAATGGGAGGTGATGATGATGACAGCAAAACCAAGAAAGATGGATAAGGCAGTAGCCAGAGAGCTGTTTACAAGGGCTGGTATAGTAGAATCAAAACGGCCCGACAGACGGCACACAAAAGATCAAGATCAGAGCATCTAACAGCATCAGATGGCTCAATAATCTCTCCCGGAAAAAGGGCTCTGCCAAATGATGAATGGACAGAACTCACTGCTCCGTAGGACGGTTTCTCAACACGTAGTTTCAAGTTTCTAATTTCTATTTTCCTCGGTTTGCGTTTCCACTGCACCCGTTACTGCAAAGTTCAATCATGCACATCACATTAAGATCGAGCCAGACTGAGTTTCCTCCCAAAAGGTAGGCACAAATCTTCCTATGATGCATATGTCAAGGAGATGAGTCATCAGTCATTGCAATTGAAACTGTCCCTCGCCCTAACCCTACAAAATCCTTAAGCTTTTGCAAACATCTATACCATGGAGTATTTCCTCCGTTTGCAACACAACATTTGAAGCTCATTACGCAGCATTGTTATGAGTAGAAAGCAACTGAAAATAGATGAGTCAAGAGTAGTAAAAGAGTAGCGTCATGGGAGTGCTTTCCCTAATATCACTTCGAAGTATCTGACCTATGCATTGAAAAGAATAGACAAGAGGGTAGCATCACTAAGTTGAAAGAGAGAGAATTTACACATTTCAGTTTTATCTACGAAGTGAAGCTACAGTTCTTGGGGCCTCCTGAAACCGAAAGTGTTCTCTCCACTGTAAGTCATGTAAAGGAAACCATCCTCATCCTTGTTTTCCTCATACATTGCAGACATCAGCGCAGCTGAAAATCAGGAAAGATGCCTCAAGTGAGACGCAGAAAGAAAAAAGCAATGAAATGAAACTGGCATCCTGGTTCAGTAAGTCACGTCACTCACCAGTAGGAGGTAGAGTGTTCTTTACAAAGACGAATATAGCCTTCTCAGCACTGAGCTTGATCCTTTTCCGAACAACATAAACAAACTGCCCAGCTGTCAAGTCGGCAGGTACAAGGTATCTACATTCATATTACAAGAAATTGGGTAAAGAACCACCGGATTTAATGCATTTTAATGTGGAAAACTGCATTCAGGAAGATTCATAAGAGTACATGCATGAATGATACTTGAAACTTTCAGCTTGGATTAACTTATCATATAATATCCTACATCATATGTTTAACTGGCCAAGCATAACTGAAATTCGTAATAAAAAAACTTCCAAGACACAAGCAATCTTCAGTAGCACGAGTTACATCAGCTAGATTAAGTGGCAAGAAGCAACTTACTTTTTCTTATCAATGTCAGGAATGTCGCTTCTTTCGGCCTTCTCCACGATAACCTGTGCAGCAAATGCGATTAATTTACATGCCACAACACTGAAACAGATCTTGGCAGGTCGATGAGAAAGTTCTTACCGGAATTCTATCAGGATACTTCTCTCTAATTCGTGCAGATTCAGCCTGCCTCTTCTCTGGTATGATAAAGGGTTATAAAGTCAGGGATAATGTCAAAGTATCACCAATGAAACAGATTTTTAGACCAAAGCCAGAGAAAACAGATCATACAATCTACATTTGTACATATAAGCGCAAGCGCGCTCCACACAAGGTCATGCGTACACGATCCACCAAATTCAAAGAAAACTGCGTCAGCAGTGACAACAAGATAACTATACAAAGAATAAGGTTTTCCAGTAGAGAAAGGCAATTGCACAATGCAAGCAAAACCATCCGCAATAGTATACATCCTCCTACGTAAGATGTTGCAATCATTGAAGAAAACCTTTAACAAGTGTTCGAACAAGATCAAATAGAAATTATATTGACAGATGACACTACCTCATTGATATTGTCTAACTGTATAGCATGTCGACAAAATGAAAGCAATGCATTGTATATGCCATTCTACTTCTGCGAAAGTTCCATGACTCTAGTCAAAGAGGTTGAAACATGGAACAAATAATAAATGCAGAGTCCCAGAAAAGTTACTAAACTTAGACATGTACATTAAGACTCAGAACACGAAGTTTCCCCCTTCTTAGGCTCTCAAGAGGAACATTAAACACGTGAGAAAGAAATGTTGTGTAGACAGATTTTTGGTACTCACAAAGAAATTAACAGTTAAAACATGACTATATACTCAGAAGGGTCTTTCTTAAAGATCCAAAGATAATCCTTGAGTGGTGAAGAGAGATCAAACTCTCTACTTAAGTTCAGTGTGCATGTCCTAGAAAGTGCCAAACTTTAATTGCTTCAAATATTTCCTGTAAAACTCATCCGCCAGCCAGGACCCGCAGGTCAAGCTCAATTACAAATAACTCATTCCACTATGAAATTCCAAATCATCGCTGCCACCAACATAAAGTCCTTCAGTCGTGGCCTCAAATACAAGCAATGATCACCCCTCAAAAACCACCTAGAGAATAACCTCGAAATTCCATCATGTATAAATATCATGCGACATTCACCATGTTGCAATGCAATTTCTTCACCCAAATAAACACTCAAAAAACCTAACATCAGGATTCATTTGGGACTAAACTCTATTGCAACCAATACGGCATCAATGGCTATCAGTAATTCATCTGAGACTAAATAAAAATTTAGACAAAGCAAACACAAAATACCAACGAAGAGATTACGAACCAAGAGGGTGTTCCAGCTTGAAAGAGCTTTTAGCCATGGCAGTCCTACTCCGATTACACTCTGCAGATTTCAAGCACCGAAACATCACGTCTGTGCCCCCACAAGAACCCACTCTCTCTCTCACCAGTAAACCCACATAATCAAGAGCACATAAAATAGATTGAAAACCGAAAAAGAGCGAAACAACCAAGAACTTAGCGTATGAAAAGGCACTGCAGTAGCATACCAAACACGAAACCCAGAAAAAAGAAGACAAAGATTCAGACTTTTGGGGGCTCAAAGAAACGATTGATTGATTGACGACTTGGGTTGCTGGACGGGGAGGAAAAAACCAAATGGGTCAATATCAGAGAAGCGAGAACGATCGAAATAGTGCAGAGTTCTACATCACAACAAGAGTATAATATAGAAGAAGAGGAGAAGAAGGGATGTTTTGATCGTGAAAGAAACGTACTTCTTCCCTGTGATCCCAAGTTTTCCATCACGGAACCTTGCCGCGATAGTTATATAATATCGGGTTGTCTCGTCTTATACGGATTGAATTGAATTCCCACTTTTCCAAGTAAAGTTCACATCTTTCGTTCTTTCTTTCTTTCTCTCTCTCTCTCTCTGAATCCGCTGTCCAAGGCCAAAGCGTGCGTTTCGAGTCTTTGTTGACTCCGCTCTGCGGCGTAAGCCGCACGAATGGGCGGGCCCGGGCTCTCGCGTAGCCCGTAGGAATTCGGTCGGGTTCCGGCGGTCGGATTATGGAGGGAGGACTAATTGTTTACCCAAACCGACTTGTCGAGTCATTGTCCCAGCCCGTTCGTATGGCTCGGAAGCATCTTGAGCTAGCGGCCGAATTACAGTTAGATCTACGCAGACTAGACCTGATAAATGGAGTGAGCTCAAAAATCTCAAAAACGCTACGTCTCATATGAATCTCAAATTTTTTTTTTCCAAATTTGGCATTTCGATTGACAAGGTCTACTATCGATTTGTCTCTCTATAAGATTTTTTAGTATCAAGCTCTTAGTAATTGTCTTTAAGAATAACACACTAGACTCTTATTTGTAAGGGATTCATCATTCTTTGCAATGAATACTTTTCTTAAACTCTTCGCTCATTTTGCTTTGCAACTAGGATCTGTGTTTGTCCCATTTCATTCCATGGATTTTGTTCAACACAAAAGGGAAAAAAAAAACAAAAAATTAATGAGCCTTAATGATTTTTTAAAAACGTGGTCGATTACATATAAAAATTTTCCCATGTCAAATGATAACAATCAATAATTTTTTTTAAACTGTAATGGAGTCTCTATATTGTACAAGTAACATACATAAACTAAGATTCCCTTTTATTTTGTTCAAAAGAGGAAGATTCATATGCAACAGAGTGCGATTCTCGCAAATAATTTACATTGAAAATACATATTACACTTCCACACGAATGAAAAATTTTACGCCCGTGCAACGCACGATTATGCTCCTAACGTGTATTATAGTAGAATGAAACTTATGTGGTGAGGATTTAATTCCGCCGGTTGACGATTTTCATTAACAATTATTAGATATAGGCCAGATGGGAGATTGCAAAGTCTTTGAAGTCGTTTAGAGTGTTGAACTTGAAGCATTGTGAAAGACATGGAAAAAGGCCATATCTTCGTTCATTTTTTTGTTGCAGAAGGCTCTCTTCAACAGATCTTCTACTTGGTGGTCACAATCACAGATATGGACATGAACAAGCCGCCTGACATCAGATTGAAAAGGGCAAGAAGAAGCAACAGGCAATGAATCAATACTGCTTCTCAGTCTCTGTTCATTTTCTTTCACCTGTTCATAGCAACTACACTTGATTCATAAACTCCTTGGAATCACAACTTGAACTTCATCCAAGGCGGCAAAAGAAATCTCGGCATCTGCCAACCCTTTTTTTATTTTTTGTGCACCAGTTGAAGAAAGAGAAAGTAAAAACAAAACCATAGAGAGAAGGCAGCTTTGACTTCTCTATCGGTAGAGATGGTATGACCCCATTGAAGAGTACTTTCTTTGGAGGCACATTTGAAGATGTGGATTTCGAAAAGATGACTTGGAGTGGAAGTTAAAAGAGTGAAAAAAGGACTAAGTTCTGCATTCAATCTAAACAAAATAGAGATTTTCACGAATGATTTCGAGACCTCGCACATGATATATATTCGAAAGGGTGCCGATCTGGCCCTAAGCTAATTTCATCGTAGACATAAGAGCCGCACTTTTGCCGCGGACATTGAACAAAATTAAAAGTCAGAGGAGAGGACAAACAAGGAAGAGAAATTCACTCCAAGAAGCCGGTCTTTGTCAGGATTGCATTCCTCACTCTGCTGAGTTCCCTCCCTTTCAAAGTCCTCCCAACCCCTTCACACACAGAGAATGGAGATATCCGAGTCCTTGCGAGCCTCTTAGCCACCCATTCATGCGGAGGAACCATGTCGCCATCATCATCATCATCATCATCGCCATCATCAACATGATGACCAGCCCCATCATCACCATCATCCCCACACGCGCCATGACCATGCTCATGCTCGCCATCAAAACCATCGCCGCTCTTGTTCCCATAAATCTTTGACCAGTCGGGGATGTTGACCGGGGCTGAGGACCGTTGGCCCAGCTTCACAGCTTCTTGATTGGAGGGTCTCCTTGGGATCGTTTTGGGAGCACTTGGGTACTGCCATGCAGATGAGGAAGCAGTGAGACTCTTGTGAATGGAGTTTCTCATGGTGGTGGGGCTTGGGTCTTCCCTTCCCTTGTTCACAACAGACCACACATCTCCCTCTTCAAAATCTCCATTGCTGCTCATCACCACTCTCTGCTTGTTCTCAGCACGAGACCAGTACTCACCCATTGATAAAAATGCTCGCTTTCCAAGACTCGATTTCTCAAAGCCCCCTCCTTTAGGAGAGTTAACGCTTTGTTTAGCACCTAAAGCCAGTGACCCAGAAGAGAGAATGAGTGAGTTCTTGTGTGTTTAACTAGGGAGAGTTGCTGGTCTTGGCACAGATATATAGAGGGGTTTTCCTATAGCTCAATCATGGCCATGGTGAAAAATGATAAAAGCTGTTTTAAATATAGGAAGTTGTATTTTTTTTTTCTCTTTTGACCAGCTAAGGAAATTATTTAAAAAACCAGAAAAAGAAACAACCCGACCATAGTTTTTCAGTGGCCGTATTATAAATGGAAGAAAAATGGGGCTCTTTCTATTTTTCTTGGGAATGAGGAGGAGGGGAAGAGAATAAAATCAGGAATCTTCCTTGCCTCTGTGCCAATAAGCTCCAAATGGAACAGAGCTGTTGGAGAGAGTGTCTCAAAAGGGTAAAATTGCATGGACAAACCGGGACCAAGAAAAACTGCTCTCTCTATCTCTCTCTCTGGCCTGAATACCTCCAAGAAATAATCAGACAGACTCAGACTCAGAGGCTAATATGTCAAGGCCATGAAAGCACCACTGCACCAGTGACAGAAGTTGGACGAGGACTGTTACACACCCAAAAAGGAGGAGAGAAAGGAGGAGTTGGAAAAGACAAAAACCAACGTTTGTTCAAATGCAATGCATGAGGGAGGAGAGAGAGAAAGGAAAGATGTTAACTTTACTGTCTTCTTCCTAGCAAGCTGGACTTGCAGAAGAGAGAGAAGGAGAGAGAGGGTTGGGTTTCTATGAGTATCGCAGTGACCCTTTTTAACTCATTATGGAAACTTTACTCCATATGGTCCGTTGTTCTTTGCTTCATGGCGAAAAATTTACTCAAAAGGTGAAAACTGGTCACATCACCATCAATAAATACAATCAACAACAAAAGCACATCAGTTCATGATAAAAAACAAGAGCAGCAACTTACAAAAATCTCTAGCGGCTGTGTGCTTGCAACTCGAGAAGCACAAAGGGAGATGAGATGAGAATGACTAAGCCAGCTTTTAATGCTAATGACATGAGGTTTCTCATGCATTTGGAAGATTGATTATTCACTTAAAAATAGCACCACAAGAATAGTTTATGGCCATCTGAAAAGAGGCTGAGATGTGATTGGAAGATGTGGAGATGAAGGATTGGTCTGATCAAAGACCCACTTTTTCACTGGTTTCCGTAACCTTATCCTCTAAACCTCGCAGCAATAATACAGCTCATTCGGCAATAACCGAGCTGGGGATGGAAAAAAGAATGGAAGCAGAGCAGACTACGCTTCGCTTGGGCGAGTGAGGTGATGACATGACAACATTGTTTTGTAAAGTTGTGAAGTTTGAGACAGAAGAAAACCTTTCTTTTCCCTCCAAACCCAGGTAAAAAAGCCTAGGAGATGGTGCTGGAGCGAAGACTACCCTTTCCCGGTGTGAGGGTACATGTGATTACACACTGTCATTGAGCCTGGGTTGGCAACTCTAGGAGAGATGATAATGTTGCTAGTTTACTAGAGAAATACTTTTCAAACCAACCATGGATGACACTTATTTTCATAAGATTTGGAGCATCCTTGGGTCTTATCACAAGTTCGAATCCTCATTCATCTGTCAGTCTCAGGAATACATGATTTGTCTGTGGTGTAGGCGAGGCGGTGACGAACTCGCTCAATACGAGCAGTCGTGGCTCAAATTATACACTTTGACTCTAGTAATGACGCCCGAGAGGATCGCTAATGGTGAAACTGATTGCTCCCTCTCACCCTTTTACTTTATTTCGAAAACCGCCATATAACATGACAGATCTGACTTCCTATATACTCAGTGATCTTATTAAAATTTACTAAATGATGGTGGCAATTTTCTATTAGATGTTTAAAGGAAGTCAATCATCTTATCCATGGGCCCCGCTTGATCTGATGCCCAATCGACACTTGCGGTATTATTTTGTGATTAAGTCTTAAAAAAACATTTGTAAGCACATCTACCACTTTCCTTCGTGTCGACATCCTTTTGGAGTGTCAATGACCAATTATACATTTTTTATGAGATATACATTGCCATAAAAAGCTAGGGTCTACATAAATTCTCAAACCAAGAAGCCCGGCTGCTCAGATATTTTCTATATTCGGTTTCAAAGAAATTCTTTTGTCTTGGTGTGCATCACCCCCCTCATGCCTACAGCTGCATGTCCTATCATCGCAATTAGGGTTAGCAATACTTTATGTGCTGGTTAAATAAGGACCAATGCAATGTCCTAGGTATTATTTTAATTACTGAATGGATGCGATAGATAATGTAACAGACATATATTGTAATTTGAGCATGTCCATTGAAGCATGGCCAATGCTCAATTCTAGTGCAAAGAATTTCATATAACATGGGAAAATCGTCATCTTTACTTTGTCATAGAAGTTTGAGACTATAATATCTCGAACAAGTTACAAAGTCAGCATATCGAGTGTGGCGAATCAGCGTCCCGAGAATCTCATGCGTTCTTCTACCCCCTTCTCTTTTCTTTCTCTCCTAAAGGCTACTTCACTCGTATGAAAGTATTTCGACCCCATGACCTAATTTGACCAACATCATTTCACAAAAGGCAAAAGAGAACAAAATTGGCAGCCTCTTTAGCATAATGGAATATGTCTCTACTTGTTTACATTATCCTCACATAACATGTGGAGCAAGCACTTTCCTTACCTTCTCTCAATTTCGCCCCTTTTTTCTTCTCCTTTCGGCCATACGATTCAAGCACTTTCACACTTCACTAATGGACATATTTTACTAGAGTCCTGCTTTGCAGCTGAAAATTCAACCTATCTTTTGCTTCGCGTTCATTGACATTGTCTTCTTACTTTTGCATTCCATCGTGGAAAAATCGACCTTTAACGCTAGCGCACTAAAAGCTGCTGAAGCACTCGCTTAGTATATCAACCAAATGCAGTTTTCTAGCTTGTATTCATTTCCCTAGCATTTTTTTTTGTTCCCTCAGTCACACCAAACACTGGAAAGAGAGGAAAAATGCATGTCTTTTTACTGTACCAAACACCAAAAAAATAAAAATTTAGGACAAGAAGTACCTAGAAATCTAGCTCGAAGTCCATATGCATTAAGCGGAGAAACATCGATAACTTTTCCTATATCGCTTTTGGCGACTGGAGGGTAGTTGGCGACGGCTAAAATTGTTCAAGTACAATCATGTCATCGCAATGAGGAACATAGTGGCATCACCACGATGGAAATCATTGTGTGCAAAGAATGCATTCTCCACCATCCAAAGAGAATCCACGAGATTTAGCAAGATACCAGCAGCCTCTCACACCTTCCTTAATTCTCAAATCTTTTCAAGCAACAGAGTGGGGGGTCTCAGAGAACCAGCTCATCTCCATTGAATTTGCTCATCCAATCTCGAGTCCTCGCCCCCACCACCAACGCCCCAATCGGTCGCCTACACTATCATTTCCCGCAGGGTCGGGTTCAATGTTCGGTCCAACTCGGACCAAATAAGATCCTACTTCAGTGGCTTGAGAGTACTGATGCACTCAAAACACCATGGAGAGTTTCGGGGGTCAAAAGAGGACCTTTCTGAGTTGAAGATTGTGAGAATTTTCTTGTATCAAGGAAATGGACTGCCACTGCACGATGCGCGATACAAGTGTGCTTATCGTTTTGGCCTCAAAGGTCAGATTTTTCTAATTCCACTACTCATCTCTCTTATTTACCTTTTCAGTAACATGATTGAGCAATTGTCAAGTAATTGCTTCTGTACAGTGATAAAAAAAAGATCTTTATTAAAGTTGATCTAACCTCGTATTGCTAGTGCTACAAAAACGAGAAAAAAGAAAAACAGATAGATGGTCCATTTCAAGCTCTAAGCTGATACTTATCTTGTGTGACGTCGATCAGGATGAATGCACCTAGTCGAGAGCTTGCCAAAAAACTCAAGCAAATATACACTGCGTGTAACCTGTACGTATGATGTGATGGCACTTGAATTAAATAATCTCCACGGCTGAATTTTCATCCTAATTTGCATGCTGCATGATAGAGCTCCATGTAGTCGAGGGCGGGTCGGTTCCAAGACCAATCTTGTTCCATCACCGTCTTACACAGTGAGTTGAACCAATCCCGACCATCATACCAAGCAGATAATGCCCTGAGAAGCAATTAATAAGTTTATATGAAATACTTCCGGAGACAAGGAGTAATGGACACAAGCATTAATCATGTGAGGCAACCCAAAAACACATGCCATGCCTGTTCGCACTAGTGCACTGGAATATGGCGACATAGACTTGATGTTTGCTCTAAATCTACTCACCTATTTAAAGCATAGTCGACCCCAGCAGAATCGGCTCCATCAAAATTGAATCCATTTGGCTCCAGACCTTGTGCTTGTGCTCTCTCTTTATCATGATCAACATCGAATACTGTATCATATAGTCCTACAAAAGAAATCATAGATGTAATGCTCCAGCTGAAATTGAAAGTGAAACTCCCTTTCCAAGCCTATGCCCATCTCCATCTATGCATACCTCACAATTGGCATGCAATAAGAAACTTTCTATGCAAAATGGCAGTCCAGAAATGAAAGTGCAAGAGGCAACTATAAACTAATAAACCTCAAGACAGAGACATAATTCCAGTAGAGCTCGGAAGTTCAAGACATGACCTTACGATAAACTTTTTTTATTGGAAGAAATATGTAAACTGGAAGGTAAGAGAAATCCACACATACACGCTAAGAAGCTTGCCATATGATTCTTGTTTGCTTAAAATTGTTTATTAAAAGCGACAGAGTGACTAAAATAATATGCGAGCACAACCAAAAAGGGACTTAAAATTGATTTACTGCTGGAGAGACTGTGTCGACATGTAAAGTACACTAGGTAAATTTTCGTATACGAATACTGTGTCCATACATAGTTTTTTCTTTTTTGGCCAAAGTATAATGACAATTTATTATGTCTGGCACTGCATATCTTTGTCAAAATGCACTTGTCCTAATAGAATGCAGGTCAAAAGAAAACATCAGAGGAATAGGAAAAACATTTAGATGAGCAACCCTAGGAAGACACTCCGCGATAAAAAGCTGAAACACTCTCCTGACGTCCGAATGTTTCAGAGATTCTAGGCACAGGATTCTTTTTAGATGGAATGTGCAAGAATGATACAATAACATAATAAGATACCTCCAGTTTTGCGAACCACAGGTATAGAACCATAACGCATTGCTGTGAGTTGAGTCAATCCGCACGGCTCAAAAATTGATGGCACCAAAATGAAATCAGCCCCAGCATATATCTACACAAATGGCAAAGCCAGCTTGTCAGTGGTCCGTTGGTTTGTGGGGAGAAAGATGCAAAAGAATTGAGATAGTGAGAACAACAAACCAAGTGAGAAAGAGGTTCATCGTAAGTCAAACAAAGGCGAGCACGATCACCATGAGAAGAATGCAATTGATTGGCCAAATTCACAAAGTCATTCTGTATACGAGGATCAGGAGCTGAACCAAGCAGTATGACCTGCAATCATGTGCACGATCAATTATCTGATGATGCTAGCATTTCCTACTTTTATTAGCATCGAAACGTCAAAATAATTAAAGGTAGGATATTAACATGCATTAACTTGAGTAATGTATGCATCTTGCATACTTCAATAAGAACAAAGTCATCAGCTGTACATTTCCTTTCTCAAACATACAACTTACCCTTTTCTAGGTAGATCAACCACTCAATCAGTTCACGACAACTGCTAGTAGATTTATACATAGAGGTGAGGAGGAATAAAGATGTGAAGGAGTGATCAATCAGATGAGACCATTTTGGACCATCAAATCGTAAATGCTCCATGCATTGCTTCAACATCAGCCTAATGACAGGAATTTGAGACTAACCCATCACGAGTATCATATTTATTACACAAAGACAACAAAGAGAAGCAATTACAACCTGTCCATTTCGCTCCAACGTACGCAAAAGTGCATGCTTGATTAGATGAATTCCTTTCTGATGGGTTAGGCGTGTAAT